TGTGTGTGTGTGTGTGTGTGTGTGTGTGTGTGTGTGTGTGTGTGTGTGTATATATATACTATGCCTTTCCTTATTACCCTCCTTCAGTCTTTCTTCACCCTCACTACCAACCACACTGGTTTCACCATTGCCATCTGTCTCAACCCCTCTCTGCATTTCTCCAGCAGCCATGTCTTTTGTCTTCTTTATAATTATCGATTCTTTGGTCTCTGTAAGGGGTCCATTATTTCTGTACACTGCAGCCTCCCAGTTCTCTGAACAGTGTCTCAGATGCTTTGATGAGCGTCTGCAGAACGATCACACAAGCACTACCTGCATGATACCTTTGTGTGCTAATTATTCTCATCTGATGGTTGCAGACCCGAAGCATGGTCTGGCTTCAGTCCACTGACCGAGAAATCACCTCTTGCATGTTACGATATGCAAGGTGCTTTTGATCTCTTTATTGATAGAAAAAACCCTGTGTCCATTACTGCCTTTCATTTAGGCATCAACCCATCCTTAACAACAGCAACCACCATTTTCAGCACCCGTACTGCTGTTTCTAATGGGCAACTCACCCTCTTCCATTCCAAACCATCCTGCTGACACAGATGTCAACACCCCCACTCCATTTTTCCAAGAAACAGAAGCCACATATGACCCTATACCTGAAAAGGAGATGTTGAATCCCTGAAGAGATATAGAGAAATCAGAAATGAAGCGTAGCTGTGCCTTGAAGTTCCCAAACAGGCCCGCATTAACTGACACAGGCCTCTCCGAGCCAGTGAGTCGAGCCAGAGGCTGTGCGAAGCTGCCATTTTCTGTTATCAGAAGGTAGTCATGGTGATCCTCCAAGTGAAAGGAGTGAAAAGTGAACTGGACACCTTTAAGAAGAAAATAAATTAGCTGTTGTAAGGTTGCAGGACAAATTAGAAATACTTGGAGTGACAGCGTTGTTTTTTTAACAATAAATGTTATGTTGTCATACTCCTAATGTACGCGGTAATACAGATGTAGTTGAGTCTTGGTTGAGAAATAGTTCAGTTAACAATACATTTACAAAAAGTAATGTTCATCTTTTCATGAATACACTTCTGTTGTGTGAAACATATGGTAATCATAGGGGAGACAGGGAAAAGATATTGGCAATAAAATGTGAAGTGAATATGACAAGTATATTTCAGAACCCTGTCTTTATCCAACTTACCTTTTTCTTTGATGTCAATAAAAAAGTTATTAATAGATGTAAGACTCTTTAACATGAAAAACATGGATTCCTCTTACTTCAGACAAGTAAGACTAAGTTTTCCCAAGGCCATGTGGCAAGACAACCGTACAAATCTGCATTTTTATGTGGAGGAACCAGACAGAAACTATGTGAGAAAAGAATATCCACTAAAGCCACTGTGGTTAGGTAAAGTCCCCAATTTTACTCAGTGTAAAGTTTTAAATCAAATAATTGAGAAATAAATAAAGTGCACATTTCAGAATTTAGTATGAAGTCGCTATTGCTCATTTTAGCACCACTCCACAAAAATGCCTGGCTTCCTAAAGAGAAGGATTTGTTGTAGAGGCAATTAGGGGACTACTTTATCTTTATGATGATTCTTCTGTCATACATCAAGGTCCTCCATTGCATACCAATTCCTTTGCCAGTATATTGAATCTTCTAAAGGATATTTGGACTGTTGATTTTGGTAGTACAAAGGTTTGCTCAATGTCTCATAGTTGAAGTTTAGTTTTTCAAAACTCCGAATAAACTTTCAATGACAGCTTCTCTCTCTCTTGGGCAACTACAGAATGCAAATTGTCAGATTGAAAAAACAAAAAGAAAGTTTCAATGTATCCTATTCCTACTCGTAATGAAGAAATTACTCACACCCAAGTCATCACAAAAATCCAGAACGGCAACAGTCCAGAACACTAGTTTACTGAAATGACTGTTTAAAAAACATTGTAGATTAAAGTTGGGAACACTATTCACATCTGGCTTTGTTTGATTTAGAACTTTGTACTGAGGAGCAAAAACGGTGCAGAAAGAAAAAGGGACTTTTGCATTCCAAATATTATGGAGAACAACTGGGTGATTCCTACCGTGATGGCCAATAGGCTGCTTTTCAGCAGACAGAGTGACTTATGTGTTGAATATATTCAAACATTGCTCTGTAATGTTCAACAATGTTTGACACACAGTCATAAATTATAAAAAAAATTACCAAAATGAGATCTCTTGAAAAGCAATTACATTACAGAGTGAAGGCAAGTGATCAATTAATCAGAAGTCACCTTCGTCAGAAGCTATCATTTATTATAATACAACAGTTAAAATATGTAGATGATGAAGCTGACTTGAATGGAAACTGTTGTCAAGTAAGTAAAATTTGTTATGATGAATTAGATGGAAAAGAAAAAATTACACTTTTTATTCTTTTGAAATGTTGTGATCATTTGATAGGTTCATGCTGCAATTAAGCTCTGTGGCTCCAGTTACTTTGGTGTTATAAGTTAGAATACAATATTCAAGATTTTAATGTTTTTGTTTTGTTGTTTCAGATAGCAACACATTGAAGAGCATTAAGAGCAAACTTTTGAAAAAGGAAATTGTGTCATGTCAACATTCATCCTTCACAAATGGCAAAGAACAGAAAAGCAGTGAATTTTAATGAATTTTCCTCAAGGGAAAAATATGTGCTTAATACCCTAATATCCCCGCTCTAAAAATCTCTACCATAAATTCAAGGTAGTACGATTTTCCCTTTTTTAAACCACAACAGTAAGGACTATACAACTGCATTCTGCTGTTATTGAGGAGCAAAACGAATATCAATATGCAGATGTTTTCACACTATACTAAGGCTAAGAACAAATTCAAAAAGACATGCACTGTCGAGAAATTAAGTATACGAGACCTATAAGAGCCAAATACACTTTTTTTACTTAAAATGAAATTTTAGATGATATGAAACTGACCAAATAATCCCATTTATCTCTATCAATGTCAAAGATCTGTGATTTCGACTGCTTCTGTTGGACATTTGTAATACATTTATTTTAGTTTCAATAACTTACTATATCTGTATCACTCTGAATTTGTATGGGTTGATCTTATAAAAAATAGGATATGCGTTTTCTTACCTTTTCCATGACTAACTTCAACTGTCCAAGTACAATTTAGGGAGTTTGGATAAAGCTCTGGGTAACCAGGTGACAGGATGATCCCTGCAGGTCCCCTGATATCCCCACCACATGATGCTGAGAGGAGAAGGACGATAATGAATGATAAGTGTTGCAAGGAAAAGGGGGAAAAAAATGAAAATGAACCAATAAATCCTTCACCTGAAGACAAAGAAGGGATTTGGATGAATAATATATTTGAGTCATATCACATCCTGTCTGGCTGTTTTTATGAGTACCTGTAATTCTGCCAACACAATGTTTTCTCTCTTCTTCTCTCTAAACCAGCCCCACTGCTTAACAGGACACTAAATTATTCATTAATTCAGCTATCCGTTGAGGTTTCTACATTTCTTGAATCTCAAACTGAAATAAACTGTCAGAAAACATGATAATCTGACTTACAAAGCATGAAAACTGAAAAGCATTGTCATTGAATTAGAGCATTTGACCTTTTGTTGTCACTTCGAAGCATTTCAAATTATTTAGTACTATACAAGTACATTTTTACTAAAACAGGTTTATAAAGCAGCTGAAACTTCTCCATATAGAGTATGCCAAGATGAGATGATGGCAAATGCTGTCAAAGCAATACTACTCGAATTATTACATCCCTTATATTGTTGCTGGTTGGTACAGAGGTGGATGATCAATGTGTTAAAGGCGTTTCATGACACTTGATAAGATTTACATTTTTCTCATTTGCATGTTTGTATTGTAGTATGTTTTTTGTTTTAAATAGTGAAAGAGGGTACTGCAGACAAATGCACTGAAGTCTTTTTCAAAACAGCTATCATTGAAAAAGTATTGGAAGTAGAACTCATGAGTGTGGACATACTTTCAAAGTAATAAATGTCAGCTGATGTTTTAGAGCATGGGAAGCCTCAGGCCTCACAGCTGCAAAATCCCACCCCCTCTCTTTTCCTCTCTCCTTTTACCCTTGGGCCTTCCAGCGAGCACAACACATCAAGGCCTGAATCCTTACCCACCAACAACATTATATCAAATATTTTATTAATGAGCCAAAATTACATAAAGTCATTAAAAGTGGATGAGCATGCTTGGGAAACGATTACTTCAGAGACTCCACAGGCACAGAGCCAAAGTGTTTGGCAACAGTCTGGCACACACCTAAGTAAGAAAGAAATGCTCCAAGATAGAAAATGAATTTTCAGAGCAGCTATTTGGATGAAGTTGCATAACATTACACTGTATCATATGCATGGTATCATTCACCCTGACAGTATTTAATCCGTTAACTGTGTCTTAGTCAAGTGATCTGTGACAAAGAGGAACCATTTACGGTTTGTGAACTGACACGACAATTGTCATGACTGTTCCTCTGTATGTTTCCGAACAAAAAGACTGCATAATAGCATCACAAGAGAATGATAGACCAGTGAAGTTTCTGCAACTTGTTGCATGACTTGCGTTTTGGATTGGAAGATTATCAGTATACACTATCATAACATCCAGAAAGTTGTTCTTACAAGCTGGTTATGTTTGTTGACTAAAAAACATTCCTCATTATGCTACATAACTAAAGGCCAATTATAACATACTGGAGAGGAAAAGGCTCTAAGACAATTTTTTAAATCATGCTGACATTCTAATAAACTAAACAGCTACAAATGAAAATAAAAACGTATTCCTAATGACAGATCCCTCAGCCTGAATGCCTAGCAATTATAAATGTTGGCATACCATCACAAGAGGGCAGAGGATGGCTCCAGAAATGGTTTTTCTCACAAACAAGCAGCTCCTCGTGGCTTAGCCTGTATCCTGGATCACACTTGAAGGATACCATGGAACCAATGGACAGGTCATTGCTTAACCGTATCCCATTAACTGGGATGCCAGGATCCATACAGGAGTATGTGTCCAATGTGACCACTAGAACAAAAAAAAATGAAGGAAAGTGAACACAGTATTCTTGAATCTATTTCATGCAACAGGCCAAATAGATATTTTATTACCATCATTATCATCCGGGCCTTGCATCTACCATGAGTTTCATTAGAAAAAATGAAAAGTATCTTTAGAGTTGAATAATCATCATTGCTGTCTTAATTTTAACAGTTAATTACATTAGTGTGAATGTATCCTAAAAAAGACTGCTTCCTGTGGTTTGGAAGCAACTACAGCATGGCTTAACACCCAATGTCGACCACTTCACAGGGACTTAGTTAATAAGAGCACAGATTAAACAACTTGTTTTTATCGTGTTAAAGGTAAAAGTGACCATTTATCATGCATAAAAACTGTGATTATGTTACTATAGAAAAAATGTATTTCATAATGTGTAATTAATTTCCTAATGTCGAGGAAGAGAGGAATCACAGTCTTCATCAAAAATGTTGTTAATTTTGGGAATTACTGAAATTTCTTAGTTGGTTAACCATGGACCAATATCAATTTTATTTTCACGGCATCTTTCAAACAATCTTAACTTTCCTCTCAACCAAAGATCTTAGGGCCAAAAACATTAACATAGTAAATAAAGAAAAAATTAAATCGCCATGTTTTATTTTGACTTTGACCTTATATTTTCTCAAAACGGCAAATACGCAACATTTATGTCATAAAGACATTTCAAGCAATGTGAGATGCTCCATTACAACAATAATGTTAAAACATCAAACCTGTTGGTTCAGTTCGTTTTCATAAAACAGTGTTTTATACTCATCTAGAGCTAAAACAGCAAATCTCTCAAAACAGGGTGATGTTAGATAGGTTCAGATAAGGAATGAAAAACAGCCGTTTCTTGTATTATCAGAATAGTAGGTGTAGCCCTGCTTAACTGTATAAATTAGTAAATTAATTTATTGATTTACTGAATGTGTTGTATATTTTTTTTCATACAGACTACTTTAGATTGCTTTTACTTCTAAAATAAAGGGGTTTCATAGTAGAGACAACTGCTTCTAAATTTCAAGCGATGCAAGCTTGAAAGAGGTGACCCCAATTTTCCCCTAAGATTTCCATTTGGATGTATTTGATGCTCTAAAAATAGGCTGATTTCAAGCAATGGCAGCTGTGTGACTATCAATGGGTAAGGCATTCTCAGCAAGCATTTGAAGAGCTTTTATTTGGCAGCTTTTCCAATTTTGCTGACAGTTTAATTTAATATTAAGCTTTTTTTCTTTAAAAAAGCTACTTGCTGATAAAGTTTGTTTAAATATTTTCAGCTTCCTAGAAAATGCACATGTACAGTCAAGATATAACTATAATGATATACGTATGTAATACCATTTTTGCATACATGCCAGAACTGAGATTTCCATACTACCATTTTCTTCTTTTAAAGTCACCCTGATTGAAGTTTGACATGTCAACAAATAGGCTCCAGTATCATGGAGGCCCACAGGGGGACACACTTTAAAAAGTAAAGCTCCCAATTGTACAGTTGCACCAGCTTAGAAATCCATACTCTCTACAGGATTAAGTAGTGAAATAAATATTAAATTATCTGAAATAGTTAAAAACCCAATTATAAAATATATGTTTGCCTTAGGTTAAGATAGGTTTACTGTGTGGCTTAAAAACTACACAGTATGACACAGGTGACTAATCGGAACAGAAAAATCAAGTTAAAGAACTATTTTTGCAAGCCAGATAGATAGATAGATAAGTATTTCAGTTGTCAAAACTAGCAATACAGAACCAGGGAGGGATTCCCTGGCTGATTATCCCTGTGCGATAGCTGAAAGGATAATTTGTTATTCCATACCCCTGTAGAAAACTTTCCCTCAGAGATTTGAGATTTTTGGCCAGGAAACCATGACTTTTTTCCTTAATGTGTATTAGAAGTAGCGGAATTCATTGATCAATAGTGGTGTTGGCCTTAAGGCTGTGGGGATTTGGTAGAATAAAATTACATCTATTCATGTCTAAAACATGAAATTCAGCAAGTAAATGCAATTATGTATTTAATGTACATCAAACTTAATTTAAATCATGTGATTCTGTTTGTTTATATAGTTTTCTGAACAAGGTTGATGCCATCTGACTTTGTTTAGATGAACAATTCCTCATTCTGTCTGGCTAGTTTTGCAAACAACAAAAGTTCTCTCTGAAGTACTTTGACAATTAGAAATGTCCAAAATAGAAAAAGATAATACTATCTGTTGTTTTTCAGAACCCTCAAAAATAGAGAAATGCACTTGAAAACAAGACATAAAACAGTCACTCGTTTCCCACTAGCAGTCAATAATGCAGAAACAATAACAAGTTTCTCTCATGAATCAAATCAAAATGACAAGGGCAATGTGCACATGTGAAAATGGAATACACTGTAACCACGTTATTTTTCTATTAGATTTATCAAAAGTCTATTACAGCATTTTGTTTTCCAACGAGATAAAATATAAAAATAACACTGAATTGTCTCAAAGAATTAAGAGGTAGACTGAGCTAACTTTGTTTTCTTCAATAATGTAGATTTTCTATGGCCACCTGTGCATTCTAAGGCAATTGTGTTCAGGTACCGCTTTTAGACCTGGCAAGAAAACCTCAATGTCAAGCTGGTTTTAGCTTCTGTTCATAAATGCATATTAAGGCACGAGTGCTACGCTTTCCACCTGAGACAGACTGAAGCCAGCAGGAGAATATCCATCGATTTCTAAAAAGCTCCGATTAAAGATTTAGAGTCATCAATTGAAGTCAGATTTCATTATCAGTGGGAAGGAGACGTCAACATGACTCCTTTGCTGTACAGATACTTTATATAATAAAAGTTTCTGAGACCTGACAAGGGCACTTAGATTCAGAAGAAAAACACGATGTCCCGACTGGAGGGTGGTGATGAGGAAAGGGATGGATTCCATTTCAGGGCCCAGGGGGGAAATGCAGGGAACCAGGTTATGAAATAAAAACTTTGTTTGAAATGGCCAAAACCGAGTTCTAATGTTAGAACCTTGTTAGCGCCATATCTCCGTCTTCATTTCCATGAAGTCTGCTTCTCGTTCCGTTTCCTTGTCTTCGTCCAAGTGAGTTTTTTGGGTTTGTTAGTTACTATATTTTAGTTTTTTTCCCCCAGTTTAGTTTATCCTGTATCCAGCTGTGCCTTTTGTTGTTCTTTTTAATAGATTTATTTTCAAGAGTTACTGGCTTCCTGCATTTCCCTCCTTGGGCCCTGCAATGGAATCTATCTCTTCACCTCATCACCACCCTCCAGTCGGGACAGAAGAATCTGGCCCTCCTCCCGGCGGGAGGGAAGTAAAGTAGACTGAGACAAGGGAAAGCATAGGAAACAAAAACAGTCACTAGAGTAAAACAGGAAACCAGAAACCAAGATTGATATAAAGCTCTTAAAATAAAACATGAAATGAGGCATGGAAAACAAAAAAAGAGACAAGAACAAAAATCTAAACAAAACCGTGACTCATAACACATGAATATAGAAATACAGTACTACATTATTTTCTCAAATTACCCCAATCAATTCACATACCACAGGATTAATTAGAATAAAAATGTTATATATACACACACACACACAAACACACTTACACATGCATTAATGTAAATTTGTGTGTGCGTGAAATGAATTGTGAGAAAACGGCTTTTGCACAGGCAACTAGGATTGTAATGAATCAATTTTCGAGAAGGCACAATGCAAACACAGCACTGAAGAAAAGGCTTAAGCAATTAAACTATGCAACAAGAATAAACAGCAACTACATACAGCACATTCATAGTTTACAGAATCCCTGATGAGAGGGATTCAGCATGTTATCCTTTTTTCCACAAGCCACTGAGACCCTTAAGTACAGCTGACTTTGTAAAAAAGTTTGTCTCTTATCCCACTTAGAAGCTACTCCTTAATTTCTCACATAATATTAATGATTAACTTAAAGCATTTGTGAATTGTGACAAATTGTCTACAAAATACAGTAAGATTGAAAACTGTAGAGCTGAACTTTGAGTGCCTCACTTCCAAAAACAGTGGTAAGTCATGGAATGTGTAACACTAAATGCATTACCCCTGTAACCTACAGCGCATCAATTTAGTTTAAGCTTATGATTCAGGATAAAGTTAAGTGTTAATATTCATGCTCGTCTCCTGCATCTTCGATTTAAAGAATTGTAACAACAAATGCCTATAACTTTTATTCTCGTCTTGTATATTTGACCAGGCATTAGAAAGTTATGAAACATTCATAAATCATGTTTGCTTTGCTGTGAACAAGAACTAATGAAATATAACTCATACATTTAAATATTTTTGCATTCAAGACAGGCAACAGCAGCACATTCCCACCTTCATAGAAGATCTTGAAGCCACTATTAGACCGACTGTTGTCAGTGGTGAAAAGCAGATACAGAAAATTACTGCTACTAAACAGGAACTGAGGGACTTGGGTTCCATTAAATGAGCCAATCATAGGAGAGAGCAGGTTTGGACCATCGTGCACTTCCAGAAAATCATAACTGAGCTCAGTTTGAAACCTTAGGATTTAACAGAGAAGAGAGGAGAAACACAGTAAGAAGATTTATCGGTATTTAGAGCATCACCATTAGCTTCATAGAGAAAAAACAATCTGAAGAAAGTTGATAAGAAATTACTCAAAATGCAATAATTTAAATCGATATAACACCAGAAGATCGATGAGCTTCAAGAAAATATGACACTGTACAAGTCTGTGCCATTGCTCTGTTTTTATACTTTAAAAAAAATCATTACAGAGTTGCAACATACTAAATCAATTTGTGAAAAAAAAATAAAAGTGACTTCACACTAAAATGTACTATTAATACTGGTAAATGTGTGTAATCCCTTTAGCAACCAGACTAATTAATTTCACTCAAAATATTCGCCAAAATAGCGCTGTCCTAATAAAGTAGCTACACACTAATAAAACAATGATCAGAATAAGACATGCACATTTCACCTTAATCTCATTTAATCAAGAGTTTCTTTTTATTTGGGTTCTAATAGGAAGCGAGTAAAGTAAAGATTAAAAAAACAAAAGTCAGTGCTTTAAGCAGTTCTGAAAGAGACCATCTCCAGGTGTTTTGTGCTGAATTTGTATTTTTGTATTTGTACAAGGAAAACATGTGTCTGAACTCATAACCAGGTGTATTTAAATATGAGAAGAATTGTGGCTGTGTGCTTCCATCTCTAGTCCTGATATTGTGCTGAATCTCCTAAACAGTCTGTGTGTGCGTGTGTGTGTGTGTATATGTGTGAGTGTGAGTGTGTGCCTTTGACTCCACAGCTGTGTCGGCTGAACTGGCTCGGTAGTGTCATACAGACCTGTCAAAACTAATCTTGATGGAGCGCCCCATCTCAGCCTCAATGACCCACTCACAACTCAGGGAGTCTTTGTAGTAGCCTGGCCATCCCGGGGAGAGAATGACACCAGATGGCCCTGAGTAGTGCCCCCCACAAGGAGCTGCATGAGAGGAGAGGCCACAATATTTTTTGAGGTGAAGAACATGGAGAAGAGAGTGAAAAACAGTTAACAGAAAATCATTGTACCCACTAGAAAAACACAAAAGATAATGAGTCACAAAAGGGCTGTTGTTGTAGATACCCTAAAAATACACAAAGTTATCAGAATTCAGTACCTTCACATTTGGGAATGAGTCCACTCCACATCACCTTGCCTTCCTCGAGACGGCATGTGATGGTGTCAGCACCCTGTGTCTTGATGAAGCCCTCCTCACAAACCACAGAGATGGAACTTCCCAGTTGGAAACTGTCACCAAAGCGCCTACCATTCAAAGGTATGCCAGGGTCGGGGCACTCGTTATGCCCAAAAGCTTGTAATGTAAAGATATGAGTCAAACACACTTGTAACAATGAGAAATTTTGTCAATAAATATAGTTAAATAAAGGATAGGGATGTTTTTGTCTGTGCAAGGAAAAAATTTAATGCTGATTAGAACATACAAGTTGTCCCTGAAGCATTGTCCAAAAATGAAGCAGTTTTCTAAAAGCATTTCTGTTTGCCGAAATTTTCATTTTCTTATGCTGTCCTTTTAATTTCCAGTTAAACCTCCAAGTCATTGGACATGGACAGAATTAACCATATAAGCGAATATATTCAAGTCATAGTTGAATAATTATTAAGGATCTAAAGATCGCATTCTCAGTTTTCATTTGGTGGTAATCCGATTCAAAGCATTGTAAAGGTTCAGAAATTACAACTATTTAATATTTAAGAAGATCTCCTTGGGAGCCCAGAGCAGTTTGACAAATCAAAGGTTAGACTAATGGATACATGTGGTCCAGTCAATTATTTTTTAAATCAACAGGAATGGAAAACAGGAAAGTAAAGCATGGTAACATTCAGAAACTGTGATAAAACAACAAAGATATAAAACAAGGCATGTGAGTAAGTCAGCCACTAGGTATGAGCCACTGAATAGTCTCTAAACATGGCAGGTCTGCTTAGCCTGTCCGATGACACCTCAAGCAGCCAGAGCAGCTATGGAATAAAACTGAATGCAAGATGAAACTACGACCAAGCTGACTTTAAAAAAAAACTTTTTTAAACCCATCTATGTGATATTTAATTTTTTCGTGACTTACTGCTGTAGGTAATATTGAAGCCTCTCCCAGACATGGAGTGATCAGCCTGAAACTCCAGCTGCAGAACGTTACTGTTAGATGTCAGGTGAGAAGGAACTTCAGCCCCTGAAAATCGCCCAAGGATTGTGGCTACTGACTGATCCCCATCTTTGATAGTAAGGAAGTCATAGGGAGGCTCCAGGTCAAAGTCATTGAAGGCCAGATTAATCCTGGAACCAGGTTCAGAGATAATCAGCCACACACAGTTGAGGTTGTTCCCATAGCCTTCGGGGTAGTCAGGAGACAGCACTGTCCCCATGGGTGCAGTGAAGTTGGAGAAACAGGGGACTGTGGGACAGAATTAAAAAAAAGATATACATCAATAAAAAATTATTAAAAACAAAAAAATAATCCAAGTAAGGTCATTTGTCTTAGAGCGACTCTCCCAGGTCACATGACTTTGTAAAGTGAGCATTCTGCTACATCAGCATCAGGTAAAAAGATTTGTATAGAACAATGTCACAGCTGTATAAGTAGCTCAGCAATGAGGAGAGAGCAGTCCTCCCCATGGGGAATGAGGAGCTTGAGAAACATGAAACTGCATAGTGAATGGCTATCTTGCAGTAGAGAGCCACAGAAATATTGCAAGTCCCAATAGACACAGTTAACATAGAAAAACACGTCTAGATTTTTGTTATGTATATGGGTTGGAAATATTTTAAATAAAAGGAGGAATTGCATCAGGCGAGATAACAGGTGATTCGCTGCAATACGCAAGTGGCTTTTCCAGTTTGCGTGAAGCAACAGTGTGCGCCCTCCACTTTCTCCTTGTTCATACCAAGCCTGAACAGCAGTTTAATCACATGCTTCTCATTTCCCATATTATGTTTTAAATTGCTGAATGTATTGTTTGCAGAGAAAAAGATAAAAGATTATATAGGACTCACATATACAGATGGGGATATTAGCTGACCACTGATTGTTGTTCTGGCAGGTTATCATCCTCTCCCCGATGAGCTCAAATCCAAACTGGCATTCAAAACGAAGAACATCTCCATTTAAAAATCCACTTCCTTCTTGGTAGCCATACAGAGGTGTTCCAGGGTCACCACAACTCTCTTTGTCAATTTCTGTAGGTCCGTTTAGGCAGGGAGGAAAGATAACTCAATTAGAACAAGAAAAACTCAAGGATAAGGGTTAAGCAGAGGATTAAGCCAAACCCAAGTATTTTGAGAAACATTTCTTCCTTTAACATTATCTCCAAAGGCCCAGTAAAGAAGTCTGAGATTTGGGTTGATTTATTTTAGTCCCAGAGAGAAAGGTGAGGATGAGAGAAGAGAACAGAGTTGTTGCTTAACTGAATGACTGAAAGAGACAGACATGAGTACAGAAAGTGAGAGGTGATATTGATACTCAGACTGGGCACCTTTATAGTTGATCTTGAAGCCTATTGAGCCCACACTCTCATCAGACTGGAGATGGAGCCACATCTGATGGGACATACTGACAATCAGGTCGGGGACAAAGCTCCCAGTCAGCCTGCAGACAGGACAAATAGTCACTAAGATTCTATACTGATACTCGTATCATCTCAAGATATGCACTGAAATTTGAGAATTGTGTAGTCACTTTGTTCTTTTATTTGACGCATTTCTTGCACTTACACTTGAATAATCGTTTTAGAGTCCCCTACTTCCCCGCCATCTCCGATGGTTAGGGAATCATACCCGATTTCCAAGTCGAACTCTTCAAAGTTAATCTGAATAACCTAAAACAAAGTTTAATCCAGTAAATGTTAGACTGAAAGGGGATCAAGCTGAAAGGGTTAACCCACAGCGTCGGAATGTTTGAATCCATTGAGAGCATTCCTGTCAACGTATTCTTCTAAACTTAGACTTCATTATACATATAAAAAGGATTTAAATGTATATTTGCATATATTCATCAATCACCAAATGTTAGCTCCTCTAACATTATCAAAAAATAAGGATTGTTCAAGGCTTTTGCACAGCCAGTGCCATATAAAAAATGTTGTGTTGTAAGGTAATATTTTCTTTAAATTCAAGCAACCATTTGTTCTTGGAGGGTATTTGTCTCACATACACTTGTATCAAAGTTTAGAATCTATCCAAGTCATTACATACTTTTCAGCATACCAAATCATCTGAATAAAATGAGCAGTTACTTCAAATGCATTTCAAGATATTATTATCAAATAATCACCTAATTTACATAAAATTCATAACATAGATACTGGTTTCCATAACCTTTCTTTTAAGAATGTGTTTCAAGGGCTATATTAACCATGACAAGGAGGCCTATGGGGAGATGAAAAGTCATACATTTCCAGAGGCAGCAGCAACATGTTTGATTAAGCAATGCTATAATATCTTCTTATAAGATTATCTTTTGGCTCTAAATTCTAATAAATGCATAATATAGTCAATATTCTATCTCTACCATGAATAATGCAGAAACTTCCTGTTAAACAAAAATTGACAAAGGCTTCAATAGAATTGAAAAGCAAACAAAACTAAATGTAAATACATTTTCAGAATCAAAATCAAATGAGCTTATGATGAAAAAAAGAAATGTACTTCTATCCTCCAGATATCTACAAAGACACCACAAACATACTTCAAAGCTAAATATAAACTGAAAGAAGCATCAATGCACAGCACTTAAGAGCACAAATCAGAATCTAACAGCCAAATGTACGGGGGTCGCAAATTATTAATTGCTTGTCTGCAGTTACCTTTGAGAAACCTCTGTTGGCTGTCACTGGTATATCTCATTGTTAAGCAAATGTACATAAAATCACAATAGATTACATATCAAGTGATGAAACTGGCAACAACTGCTTACTCTAATAATGATAAAGAACGAAGAAGTGGAGAGGCATACTTGAGAACCACCCAAACTTATCCTACATTTAGCCTGGATTAGTAGTGACAGGAAGGAGGGATGTGGATGTGGACACTAGTGCCTGTTGATTGCAAACATATCAGGAGCGCTTGCTCATCCTCAGCCTTTATTCTTCTGCCCAGAGAGAGGACTGTGTCTGCATAGCATTTATGTATCATAGCCTCATAACAACACGCACATAATTTTTAGAACATTAATGGACCAAGTTTCACTGCCATAGGAGAGAACAGTGGAACAAAAGCTAAGGCACAGGTCATTTTTAGTCAGCTCTAAATGAGTGATCGTTGGTTAGTTCACGTTCAATATTGGGATAGCATTCAGCTGACATCCTTATGTATTTGATTGGTTTAGAAGAATATTGAGACAATTCTGTTCAATGAGGTATGTATCTAGGAAAATGAGCGCTGACCTTTTCAGCTGTTCTCATTCAGCAAGTTTTTCTGAACATCCCTGATACTTGAGAAAGAAGAAGAGAGTTGCTTAAATACATACAGTCGAGGCCAAATCAGTAGGCAAGTGAGAGGTAAAAAGCAATCTGATCTAATGCTCACTGGAATAAAAATAGGCAGTGACAAAGTCAGAAAAAAAGACTATTGTAGAAATGTCTAAATATATTAAATAAGAATTATATAAGCTTATATGAGCGGAACATGAAAATGCTCTTTAGCATTCATTTAATTTTTGAGAGATCTATTCACAAGAAAAAGATGACAGATGTTTCATTGTGTTACTTATAATATTTGAACTAATATTCAGGGATTTGTTCCATAAGGTGTTTAATCGCATAGAAGCAATCTAATCACATTGAAAGAAAACATGGTTACCACAAAGGGTCTACACTGAGTGAAAGGTTGTGACAGGACCAGTCCTGCTAAAATATCATTTTACCAGGATCTTTCTCTTGATATTTTTCACAGCTACATTACTAATGATACTAAATAATGTTTGGCCTTATAATCTTTGGCCACAACCTAAAAGGTTCAGCACAGAAGTGACAACTTTGTGGTGGATAAAATTGTATCCCTATTTAATTTCTCAGCTCAGACAAGTCCAAGTTCTGACAATTTAGTCAAGATTATTCGTCTACTCCCAACATGACTTTAGTTGCAGTGGGTTGGTGTTACTGCGCCAAAGTTTACAAATGTTAGTGACTGAAAGGAGAAAAGGTTTCTACTACCTTGTTGGGATCACTGGCAGTGATGATCCAAACACACTGGGAGTTACTTTCATATTGGATGGGGAAGTTAGGGGATGTAAACGTCCCTGAAGGTCCATGAAGATTCGACCCACATGTTTTCACTGCAATGGTAAAACAGAACAATTGTGACATATATGACATGCACTACTGCGCTAACATTTCAGGTTCTTCAAATGGTTGAGTCTTGGCAATCTTGCAACACCATTATGGAAGTATTTAATCTGTTTCAACACATCTGCAGCAAGAAAGCCTCAAATATAAATAGTTACAGTGGAATAGCTTTGGTAATACAAAGAACAAGTAGTCCTGCAACAGACATTAAGACCCCCACAGACCAGTGATCTAAATATAGTCTCTTTGATCTCACAAAAAGACAGAAGCTTCTGAAACAGTTTAAACCCGCCACTTCACAAATGTATCCAACATGCTTGTAAAGCAGCTTGAAATATTTCAATTTAATTTAAATTGTAAAAAGGGTCACATAAATGTTTCCGGTGCCCTCACTTGTATAGCTAAGTCCATCTATCAATCTACTGCACAGCACTGCATGAAAATTATTTTAGACTCATTATAAATATTGATGGAAACGGTGCTCTCAAGCTAGAGTAATAACTCTTGCATTGTAATATGACTGAGGGGTAATATATTGTTTGCACAAGTCAAGAAAGGGTCTATTAGCTGCATTTCCATTAATCAAAGTCTAAAAGATGCTCCAGGTGTTATGAAACACAGAAAAACAGGGAAAGGGTTTTGGAATGGAAGAGTACTGCAGCAGAGGCTTTCATGCATAATTAACAGAAATGAACTTTGCTCCATCTGCATACAGCCTATATACACAGCCATTGCCTTAATCAAAATGTTATCAGCTCCGCAGAAGCTATGCTCACCCTTGCAGACAGGTCTATGGTCACTCCAAGCTGCAAAGACCTCTGCTACACGCTGGCAGGTAATCGTTTTGGAACCCTGAAGCACATGGTCCTCGTCACAGGTAAATTGAGCTGTGGCTCCGATGCTAAAAAGTTAAAAAATGATGTTAAGAGCCACAAAGAATCACTTACATACAACACATAAGATATAGGAAGTGGAAGGTAAATTTTTGGCTGGCTCATTTGAGTGCGTTTCCAATGTACATTCAGGCAGAAAGAAAATATTATTACTTTGGTCATAATAATGAACAAGTTTACACTGTTTAGCCATTTAAGATCTTATTTACAATAACATAAAAAAATTGCCACATCGCTTCACATTTCCCTAATTAGATTAAAGAAGATTAAATCCACTTTAGTTCTCAACTTAGAGCTGATATATACATTTGTTCTTGTTAGCTTTATTTGCAAAGCAAAAACTAACCTGAAGTCAGAACCAACCCGTTTGCCATTTTCCGGCTCCCCTGGGTCAGGGCAGTAATTGGAGACCTGTTTGATTCCTCCTTCATTCACTAAATGGAGAAAGAGAAGAACCAACAATGCTCTGAGAGAGGCTCTTCAATGTATCAACAGTTGAATGCTTTCAGAAACCCCACTACCAGGTATGTCACTTTAATTGTCGCCAGGATTAAAAGGGAAGGTCAATTGTTTGACCAAATCTCCAGATATCAGATGTTTAATTGACTGTTATTTAGCAACAGTGATGGACATTTTCACAATTGGAGGAAGAGTTTGAAAAAGGGTTAAATGAAACTCATAACTGAATTATACAAAACAGAGGAAAATCTGCCTGGACAGGGGAGTAAACAACCTTCCACTATCATTTATGAGTGTAACAAAGACCACTGAGCCAGGCTTTCGATTTCTAATAAAAATTAAAGTATATTGTATATAGCCGTGGAAATATGGATTACGTAGTGTATTGTCCTTTTCAGGGTGACAACATAAAGAGGTGGCTTATGAGATGGAAAATAGCTTATGTGTGCATGTATGAAATCGCCAATTTGATATCAAATTGGGCACAATTACTGAAATATGTTACATCAGAATTAGATGACATATGACAGTCTGCGCATTGCTGTACACAAATATCTCTTCTGCGACTTCTTTCAGGAAGTTCATCAGCTTTAAATGCAGCCGTTATCGGTTATAATGAATGCATCTCCTATAGGCAATAAATCGGCATGACATATACAGCATCTCCTCACAGTGCCTAAGTTTTTTTCCTCATTGACAAGATTACAGCCTTCTACATTATTCATGAACCAAGGAGTGCTGAACCTATGATGCATAAGGTAATAAAGATAACAGCCTGTTATCATCCAAGTGTTTAGCACACTGCTGAGTGAAAGGGAATCGTGCTCCAGATTTATGTTAATGATAGATCTCTGCAAGCATTTCTAATGCATTCTGTTTGGTATTAAGCATACACAAATCACCTAACAAGTGACTGGTCACTCAACCATGACCACTGTCCATACGTGTCAAACAACACAAAAGACAACTTGCACAACATACATCCAGAGTATAGAGTGGGATGGTAAGAATTTAATCCATCTGGATCTTATAAAATTTCTCATACTGTATTAACAAGCATGTCTATGTCTGATCTAGTTGAGTGAATTTCTGTCAGGACAGGAAGTCCAGGACAGCAGGAGAAATGGGTCATCAGAAAGAAAGAGGCTTTTTCAAAATCTAATACTGTAGCTTAATGCCTTCACCATATGATGCAGCAAAGAAAGAGAGAGAGATACAAAGATCCAGAACACAAACCCTAGATAATCAAAATAATCCAAACAATGAACACAATTGCATAAGGAAAATAAAAGACTTACTCAAAGACAGTTTGTTAGTGTTGTCCTTCCCTGGTAATAATTTTACCCCCCTGGATTTAAGCTCTCCAGAGCTTTTCACTGGTCAAGAGCAATAGAAAAAGTTTATTAGATAAAAGAAGTTACAGTATTAGGTGTGAGAAGATACAGTGCATTAGTTTGTTTCTTGATCCCATGAACATCAAAATGTAATTTCTAATGCTGTGCAAACTTTTCCAGGAGTGGCAAAACACCCTTTTCCTTATTGTGTATCAGTTTAAAAAAGTGGATGGAAACTGAACAGCCCAAGCAAACTGAATTGTTGAGGGAAATGCTGTACCATGCATAATCCATACACTACATATCCAAATAAGGTCTAATCAAAAAGATTAGAGGTTAAAGAGAAGTGATTCTATAGCGCCTGTTGACATCAACCAAAGAGACTAAATCAAAGTGCGCTTTTTTTTTTATTAAACAGAAAAAAAGGAATTTATTTGCTAAAAAGCATACTATAAAAAAATCCAAAAGTACTTGTTTTTGCTAAAAATCCACCATCAACACATGCAGACACAGACAATAGCTGTACCACTGCCCAGCAATGCAGTGCAATGGATTAGAGACACGATTTTTCATGCTATTGGTTTAGTTGACTGTTTTTTTTCCAAGAGATTTCTTAAGGAGCTGTTTATGGTAAAGTTACATAACTCACACCTGGCTTCAGTCCACATAAGCAGTATATTCAGCACATAAACTGACTTTAAAGTCATGCCAGAGAACAATGTCAGGGTAATTGATTATTGAGCTTACAGAGCAATTTTTTTTCTAAAGGGTAAAGTATATATAGTATTTACCTCTCAAAATATTTGATTAAAAAGGACCTTTGAAGTCAATGGCTTTAACTTTTAAAATAAATCCTTCATACCCTCTACAGAGAGTGTTAATCAAACTGTTTAATATTCAGTTAACAAAGATCAAAAACCTGTTTGCAATTAAACTGTGTTTTCCTATGATGATCCTTTTTCTTCAAGTGGGGGGGGGGGCTTATTACTCTGCAAATGAAGTAATTGTGTCTTACCTTGATACTGAGCCCTGAAGCCTTTGTGGCGGTGGTTGCTCTCTGTAACAAAGTGCAGCCTGAGCCAGTTTTTGTTGCTGATGATTGGTGCTGGAATATTCATTCCAGTTAGCCTGGAAGTAAAAGTCAAATATAAGACCATGCATGTCCTCCATTTCTTAACTAACTTATTTACATAGTGAAATACAAATGAAAAAAGCAGGTCAAATCACCATTACCTATTGTAAATTCTCAACTTTTCAATCGACAAACTGAAACATTTGTGTTTTTTTAGAGACTATATCATTGTATGTTCAAGAAAAGGGAATAGGTAGCACCCAGATTACACTTTTTTGTCTTGTACCCACGTGTCTTGTCAAATAATGTGCACCAACTGCATCTGTATTAGAGTTTTACTTGGAAGCTTTCAGGGATGCTCTATAATCACAATGGTGTAAAGCTGCCAGGGGGCTCTTTTTTTTTGGCACAGCCAGCTTGTTTATTTTCCCTTGTTTTTCCTATTGTCTTCAAATTCCTACACCACACCCTGTCCTACAACTGACAACAGAGCTCAGTGCCAACGTAGGTTTGAAACAGAGGCTTCGGAAATGATGCAGTTGAGCGATGTGTTCCCAAATTAGCTCATCTGCCCATTCATCTTCTATGCAAGCTTTTAAGTAGGGTTGTAGGGAGGCTGGAGCCTAACCCAGTTATCATTGTGCAAGAGGCAGGGTACACTCTGGACAGGTTGCCAGACTATCAAGGGGCCACACAGAGATGAAAGAAACAGACAACTATATACGCTTACACTTGTTCCTAAGGTCAAATTGGAGCCACAGTGGGAAGAACCTGGATTACCTGAAGAAAATATGCAAAAACAGAGAAAAGTCCCTAGCCAGGACCTGAACCAGGAATCCTCTTGCGAGGTTTCACTGCGCACTACACCACTGTGAAGCCCCAAATTAGCTCATTCCACAGAAGAACCACTATTGCTAATTGTTATTTTTTGACTGCTTATTATGTGTGTGTCTTTTACCGTATGTTAAGATATGGGCAGATGCATTCAATTTGAATTTTTTCTTGGGCTTTTACTACAGATCTATCAAAGAGTTGAATAAAAAGTGGAAAAAATTGAGTCAGATAAAAGAGAAAAACACTGGAAGAGAGCGATGGAGAGAAATAAGAGTGGGCGCTTCTTCACATGACGGGCATTGGAGACACAAGATATATCTCAAGTCTGTCTAACATTTGATTCCCCTTTATTTTGGCTTCATTAATGCTTCCCCATTTTCATGTTAAATGTTTTATCATATCAGTGTTTAACAGTTGTCAGGTGTATACAAGCCTAATAGATGAGCAAACAATTTTTTCTTTTAGTTTTTAGTATCCATCTCAAAAGCAGACTTTGGCAGATCTTATAGGACAGTTAACAAGTAATTTCCAAGCAACACTGTACCATTTTTTGTTTAACAAATTAAAACAATGGAACCAAAATATTTTTTGTCAGAGGCACATGTGGCAAAGAAAAGGAAACAATCTGTCATTGAAGAGGTACAATAAGATTTAATGGCACCCTACAAAAATCCTTTTTAAATCAGTCTACTTTCAACCAAATATATGCAATTATTGTATAAAATATTCTCTCTGTCTCAAAATGCAGTACAAATAAAGTAAAAAAAAATGAAGCCATGATGTGAACCTGCTGCTTCGAGCTGCTGCTCCCAGAGGGTACACATAACCCAACGAAAACAAATATGCTCCTAGGCAGAAGGCCACCAGAGACTGGAGAGCTGCAACATCTCAAGAGATATGTGAAAGTAATGTCTTTTGTGCCAGATTCCTCTTTTTTCAGATTTCTTTTTCTAAATGTCCTGTTTTTGTAATTATCCTAAAAATATACATATAAATTAGTAAGGAAAGCATTCAAAACCACAACAAGACTAAATCCAGTACTCTGCTCAGCCTAAATCCTTTATCTAATTTGTCCTCAATAAAAAGTACAGTAGTTTCCAAACTGTGATTTAGCATTTTTCATGTCATTGAAGCAGGATATTCCATGGCAAGAAATGGTAAGCATTCCTAATATGCCATGTTTACACAGTATATAAAAGAGTCCTTAGAGTTCTCAGCGTAAAAATGTTTACTGTTCAAGTGGTGTTATACAGTGGAGTGTTTGCTGCTCTGCCAACAAACTTACGACTACAATGAACAAGTTGCTGTTCGGCCACAAACTCCTCACATTACTCTAGCGGAATTCCCTTGTCAGTTGGCTTTTCACATTCCCTCAGTTGGAGCAAGTATTCTTCCCAGACTGATCACAGTAAAGCGCAGATTTTGGAGACAACTTGAAGGGTATTGCTTGCCTGTGTAGAACAATAACTACAGAAATCCCAGCGAAAAAGAAATCAAATCTAAAAGATGACATGTGCAACACATCCAGTGCTACAGTACAGAACCTTTGGATAGCACAGTATCATGCTGACCCTCTTTCTACTAATCTGTTCGAACAGGACCTCAATTACAATGAACCAAGCAAAATACTGCCTGTGGATACAATCAGTTCTAAGCTTTCATGGTAAATTTAGAACATGCAGGATAAATGTTACACAAGTATTTGGAAGTAGAAGCAGGATATTGAATAATAAAGGTATACAAAGAAAAAAAAGGAACAAGCACACTTTCAAAGTAAATTATTCTTATATTCACAAAGCCTTGGGACAGTCCGTATTGGATCCAATGACTGACATGTAATCAACTGCTTGTTGTTTTTGCCCTTTTTGAACATGGCCAAACAATCATATGAAAAGGTCAGCAAAATAAAGATCTGTTTTCCTTACTCAACCCTTACTCCACTGCTGGTTCCTGTAAAACTTTGTTGTTTTTGTTTTTCGCTTTGTCCGTTTTCAAGGTGATTGATGAGCAGCTACACATCAACCTTTAGCAGCTCAACAACAACAGACACAGAGCTGATAAAAAGCTTGATCGATAAATAAAAAAACTGTCCAGAAAACATATATTCTGTGCCAGACCGCTAGCATTCTGGGGGGTTTCCAAACATCCAAGAATTGTTTTGTTCGCTTTTTTAGTTGAAATGTCTACAATGACTTTCAGGGAAGTGCATGACCAACTTGATTGGTTGACAATGCTACCATATTTTCAGCAAGACTGTTTTCCTTGTTATTTATGGTTGTTATTTATGTTTCTTTGTAACTGTGTCATTTTCTAACAATATAATTAATTACACTTTTCCCAGTGTTTTTTCAATTAAAATTCATTTTCAGTAATCATATTCCCATGTATATTATATTCCTGTGGTTATACATTGTAATTATATGTACAACAAATTAGGTAGCATATTAAGTGTATCATCAAATATATGTATTTGGAAAAAAAGGGTAAACAGGCAACAATAAATCTGGCAGAGTAAGAACTCCCAGGCTGTCCATCATTGTTATGCAGCTGTAAAGCTCAAGGGTAAATTGACAGCCTGCATGCCACTGCCTGCAGCAAGTGCAAGACGTTGGGCCGTTTGAATGTTTAGTTGTCCAAGGGCCTTGTACACAGTCAGACACTCATAAACAGAAAGAAAGCAAGAGCGATGAATTTCATGGGCATAAGGGATTCGCTCCCTCTCACTCACGCTTGTTTGCTTGTCTGTTTGTTTACCTGGAAAATCTGATGCCATCTCTCTGAAGTGCAGACCCTACTTCACTCTAGAACACCAAGTCCCAAGAGAATTGATGTCTTAAAAGGAGAACTCAGTCTAAAAGCTTCTGGCATTTGGCGACATACACTAACATCAACCTAGAATGTCATGTCATGCTCAGTGTCTACTCAGAACTGACACGAGTTTAAGTGCTGCTTGTTAAACATCTATACCTGATCAACAAACATAACATGTCTGATTTTTAAAAAGCACTCAGAACACACAATAGATGTCTGAAGTTGTGCATGATATATAAATCGAGTGGATTAGATACATTTACAATATGGAGCATTTTCACACTTCAATAAAACAAAATATAGTTCACTAATAGTGACAGTTAAAGTTTAGATTGTTAAAAGTAGTAAATGTATAAAAGCTGTTATACATTAAGGTTATAAGGAAATTATGATATTTAGAAAAGGTGTCATTATTGTCTAAAAAATCCAAGACAGGACATTACTATGAAAACTTAACCTGTGTTTTTCCTGTTGAAGTACAAACAATTATATTACATTAAATTTACATTTTAGTAATTTTGTTTGCTAAATGTGTCTGTGTAGAGTGCTTTAATTACGGTAGTTTTCTGCTCATCTCTCTTTCACATATCCACACAAACTTGCCCCAAAGAGCATGCCTCAGGAGACATGCTCTTTGGGTCAGTAGTGAAAGCAGATGGATTGTCAGTTTTAGGCTTGCAGAAAAAAAGGTTTATCTCAAGTAATCAGTCAGTAGAGCTAAACCTCAACATGACCTATTGATCATAACACAAATATGCTCTAGTTTAAGCAGCAGCAGTTAATTTGACCAAATAAATAACAATTAACTGCTGGATCAGTGAATGGCAGAATTAACATGGAGCAGCACAACAGAACAACAATTATAATTTGATTTTTTTTTTAATGACCTGAGCAATGAAGAAACAATTCTACTACATTAATTAAAAATGGCATATTTTCCAGTGAAGGTTTCCTAATGTCAAAACACATCAGTCTCATAACACTGTGACTCACTGACACACTCCTCTTAGCTATGTCAACATACAGTACTGAAGCGTCATCACCACACAGAGCACTAATAGTGCTTGCTTCTCTCCCTCTGACTATGAATGTCAAGTCTCAGGGACAACAGAGCCCCTAGCTTTATTAGAGTATCTTGTAGGAATGATAATTAATGACCAGCAGGATTGCATAATTCCAGCAAACGCTGAGATTCACAGACAATGCAGAAAGGAAAAATAAGCTTCACCTGAAGGAATTAAAAGTATTCTGAAGTAATTGCAACAAAAACAAGACTACCCAGAAAAGTAAAACATACTCATTTGAAGACTGCTCTTTACACAGCACGGTAAACATATCTAAGATTGATCAAATTCAGGCAGAACCGCAGGTGATATTTGAAAGGTTTTATGTAAAGAACCGTCAATGAAAATTCAGTGATGATGCATATGCATGGCAGTAAGTAATTTTGTAATCTGTATTGGAAACATTAATTGCCAGACAACATATAATATCCTGTAAAAGTAAAGATTATTATTTTTTTTTTTTTTTTAAGTCAGTCAGCACATAGACAGTGGAAATCTATCCTCTTCACTTTCTCTCACAGAAGTCCAGTCAAAACCAATCTTCACCATGAGAGAATAAAATGCTGATATGAAGCAATGACTGATATAGAACTTTCAGAGATTTGGAGGTAAAGTTATTAGTCCGTTTTCACAAGATCATTGTCTAAAGCCATAATTTTAATTTCCCCACTTTCTCAAGATCTCTATACCTCCTTTCTCATTTTCAAAAAGTTAAAGTTTTGTTAGTCCAGGACCATCTGTAAAAGTCACTGATAAAATTACTTAAATAATCTGAAACTAAATTTGAATTGATAGAATGACTGTTTTATCTTTTATTTTCTTGGAATGGAATAAAATCCCAAGCAACAATAACCTCATGTGACAACTCAGACACTTTTCTTAACACTTTGAAAACAAATCATGCATTCACCCTGTCATTGTACAAAATACAACACCCAGAGGGTTATTTTCTGCAATACAAACCCTCACACTTCATTCTTCTTCATATGTCAACTCACCAGATAGTTGGTGGTTCAGATCCTTCTATTTCCAGATAATCGGACTTCTCCTCCATCTGAAATTCTGTGAACACCAGAGAGATAGTGTCCCCTGGATCTGCCAGAATGGTCCACTTACACTCCCCGCTGCTGCCCAGACCTCCAGCACCTCCACCCCCACCGGTGCCAGGGGAGTCACCACCAGGGAAATCAAAGCTGGAGATGAGCCCGCTGGAGGCCCTCAGGGTGCCACCACACGTGTCCTCGGCTGTCAGTCACCAAAGAGACAACCGGGGTGGGGTAAGGATAGGAGTGTGAAAGAACAGACTCATTCATTCAAGGTTATTTTACACATTTCACTTGAATGGACAAAAAAAAAAAATATCTGCAGCCATCTATTCAGATACCTGTGGAAGAAATATAAAAAGCTTGAGCTACACAAGCCACTTTAAAATACAATTATCTGACAGTTTGTTCAGTGCAGTAAATGCATATTTAGATCACTGAGTTTTCTTTATACTATATCAATCACAATGCACACTGATGACAATTAACATTACAAATTAGTACAAATGAGCAACTAACCAATGAATTACTTGTCCTAATTCTGTTTAGTTTATTTCACTGCAGTCAATAGGCAGGAGAAAAGGGCAATAGTGTCTCTAGCCTTCTGTATTTCTTCTCTCTACATCCAACAGACAGTAATTGACCAATGTTTCCTTAAAGGCCCACTAATTGTCAAGAAACAAATAAATGCACCTCTACAAAAATAAAAATTGAAAATAAATACATTCCCATGAGGAAACCCTGGCACAGCACATGAATATGAATGTTCCCCAACACAACAGTGTCTTCATCCCTTTCACACCAACTTACTTTCCACTTTTCCCCCCACACTTCACCACAAGTTGTATCCATTTATCTGTTTGTTTTTTTACTTATCTCTGAAGAAAAATGTATGTTGATAGCACCATTAGGGTTATCATTCATAAGAAACATCATTAAGGACACTCAGCTGTCTAAACTGAAACCTGCGATGACTCCACTCTGCACTTGTGGCTGTCAGATCTGCCCACTTACTGTAGTACTGAACTAATCACTGGGTCAAAGAATAAGGTAGAGAAAGAAAACAAATATGAAAGGCTGATAGTTGGCTTTACCTATGTCACATATCAAATTAGTAGAAGCGTAGAAACATACTGTAGAGAACAATATTTTTTCCCTGATTTGTTGGACATGCTAACTGGACATGGTAAACTGGACACTGTAAAAAAAAAAAAAAAAAAAAAAAAAAACAGTGCTTTATTTATTTATTTATATATATATATATATATATATATATATATGTAGAACGACGAGTAGTAGTCAGAGACACTGTTTGTGTCTGCTGTTTGGGGTTGTTACACGTCTTATTTGAAAAGGCTTAAAGTGTGGTTTCTAACATCGTGTGATATACCTGAATTTCTCCTCTACAGTAATCATTGTCCCATAGAATTTTTTCTTTTGTTGAACAGTTTCAGACAACTGAAGAAACCCTAGACATGCCCCTAAAGAAGCTTGTGAGATGTAATCGGACTAAAATCACTTTGGTATTCCAACTAAGTAGTATTAAGTATTAGTATCAAGTATGTATAACTCGTTCAGACTGTTTAGACCTTTAACTAGCATACATGTTGGGTGATTCACTCTGAAGAGGATAGCAGAGCCTAACATCTACCAGACAGTAACCAGCACATGGCTAATATCCACACAAATAAAGACTCATAAGCTGTAGCTGAATCAGTTTAACATTGTAAAATAATGACAGTGAAAGTATAAACATAGACCTGTATTCAAAGGAAACCTCCCACTCTGTCCAAAACCATGCTACGTTAATTAACATTGAGGCATAATTACAGATTTTTTTCTCGAGTATTTGTTTATGTTTCTACTTTCCAGTACAGATCAAATCATGAAAGACATTTTATCAATTAATTCCAAATAATCATCCCTTAAAATCCCAATAGAAAACTTTAACAGTAAACATTTTTATTAAAATTCCAACTACGGTGTTCCAAATGTTGCTTGGCTAATAGTGTGACATTAACAACTTGTTACTACAAATAAATGAGGTAGATCCGATTTCATGACTGACGAAACATGTGACTTTCGACATGTGAAATGTTGGGTGTGATCACATGTATTCAGAGTTGTACACTTGTAATCCAATAAACCATGATATATTTAATAGCAAAAGGGAGGACATACTCACAGTCAGATTGTGAAGCCTACTTAAAGTGACTATTTGTATTGAAGTTGCATATCTCCTGTGCATAAAGAATTGATTAAGCTCTCGAGGCAACCAAGGAAGAAAATTGATGACAATTTAAAGTCAAAGTTTCACATCTAAAAGTGGCAGTGTCCAGTTAATATTAATTTTAATTTCAAATCATATTGCAGAAGCTTCATATGCAAGTCATCGTAACAAGGAAAGAATAAATATGCCGATTATGCCAGGGGTTCTAAATTTTTTAACATTTCTCTAGAGTTCTGAGCGAGATAGGAGCTGAATCTGAAACCTGATGCACCCACACAACTTTCATGTTCTGAACACATTTTCATCTTGGGAAATTTGAAAGGAATATTTCAGACAATTATCAAAGAAATGGTAAGGCGTCTGAAAAGTCCAAGTAGCACCAGGTCATGACACATTTATGGATATAATCAAATACAAAAGTACAGAAAACAGACAGACAGACAGTACAGAAAATAGCAAGAAATTAACCTTGGTCTAGAGAACATTGTATCTATGCTCTAGGTTCAATAGAAGAAACAGAAAACAAAAAAATGCTAGAGTGGAAAATAGTAAGCATGCAATGGTTACTTGTGCACTGTCTGCGAAGACAGGGATAGATGCCCACATCAACATCTAATGAGAAAGTCAATTACAACCCATTGATACATTTACATGCTATGACATATTGCACAGAGAAAACTGGCAAGATGCCTTCAATAAATCCATAATTAAACTGAGGAAGAAAGGCAGGTTTCTTTGCCATCTCTTTGAGAAGCATCCATCCGTGGTAATGTAAACTGTAAAAAAGGAAAACTGCTGTCAGGGGCTTAAATATTCTTGTGGCTTGAAATTTTTAAATAGCTTCAGTCAGAAAACGCCTTCCAGGTTTTATATTTTCACTCGCTGTGTTTTCACTGGGATACATGTTAGAATATAATGTACAATTTTTTCGCAAATTATGTTGAATAAAAATTAAGCATTGAATGCTGAACAGTCTGTTCCAAAGCAATTCAATAGAATATGCCCTGGATTTTAAAAAAATAAGATCTTTCTCTCAAAGTACGGTAGATAAAAAAAAAAAAAGCGGTAGCTGTGTTTAAAAAAAATAGTGAGGATTAAACTGGTTTAGCTGAGCTCATTTACATCCCCAGCATCAGCAATCTAATGCTACTTGAGGAGGGATTAAGCTTCTCTCCCCTTGACTTTGATCAGATATACAGCACTTGTCTTTCCACTTAGAAATATTCACCCCCAAGGATAGAGAGGAAGGGACTCATGTATAATTTTCAACACTACCTTAGGTTTTTCCTTTGTAATAATCCCAGTGTTAATGTAAGGCAGCGACTGTCTACAGTAAGTCTCTCATTTGCTTGCTGCAAGTCGTGTTAAACATTGATAGGGCAGAGGAATGGATAGGAAATCTGTAATGAGTGAGGCTGCAATACATATTGCATCAGCATATTTCTGGGGGTCATTTCATTTCAGTGACCATCTCTGTGAAATCCTAGATTGTAAATTAATTATGAGTGAAGAACAGAAAGACTCAATGAGCTATTTGGCACCACAGCACCAACTACAATGCTAGATCAGAATAAGGAATTTGTTCATTTTTATTTTATAATATGCTCTCTAATGATCCTCATCTCATTCTCCTTTTGAAACAATTTCATTGTTCTCATTACAAGGCCTATCTGAGATTTGAACAATAAAATGGCTGCCCATTTTCACACTTGAACCGATGAAGATATGGAAGCATTTTCATTTAAATTCCAACTATGGAGGACATATTTTGACTGAATTGTACTGCCGGCAGACCAGCAAAAAATTCAAAGAGCCTTAAGGTGACAAAAAAAGAATATTTTTTTAATGTTAATTTCCGAAGATGAAAATTGAAAAAGCAAATGAGACAGAAGTATACATTTACTCATTTCACATTGGCCAGTATGTTTTCAAATACCAAGTTTTTGGTGTCCTAATTTCCTCGCTTCTATTGGACACTGACCATATATCCATAGACCATATTCTCAGGTTACCATGCTGTCTTCCTTTTACAATATCTATTCTTTTTATTTATTTCAACAACTAATTTTATGGAATGCATCAAACAGGGCTTCTGAAAGGGTAGTACAACTTATAACATCCATCCATTCTCTATGCTGCTATTTCCCCTTATAAGGAATTCTCGAAGGATTTCTTCAGTGTATATTCACACCGTTTAAACTTTTACAAAGTATTTTCTTGTTTATTTAAATCGAACAATACCTTACCATTAAGTAACGATGAACTGCAGCGCTCCTGTTCGATCATATGACCCTGACTGTGACTCAGTTATCCAAAATACACATTTTCCCTCTCAAAAGTAACAATACATTTTCTGTTGTAATGATGGATATTATTGAAATTTGGATTGCATAAATCGTCATATTCTCTTTTCCTTTCTACTTCTTTATCAAACATAAATAATGAAGAAGTTGGATATTGAAAATATCAACGAAGAGATGGTAACAAAAGACTGGATTAAATATCAAGGTGTTGGGAGATTGTGAAGATGGTTTGGACAGTGGGCCGAAGAGAAATTTGGTGTTACTGTGCGTTTACCTGAAACAATTGGTGAGGAGCAGAAGGGGCAAGGTCTCAAAGGAAATGAGATCAAAAGACCATCTGCCACATACAGGACTCGACCTGGATTTCATTGAGAAATTATGGCTGTAGCTATGTGTATGTAGGCCTGAGGAGGAGTAATGTTTCTTTCTTATGGCACCAGAGCCTGACACTGTCCTTGAAAGGATACAAACTTTTTTCTATTTCCTCAGTGCTTTTTGTTGTTAAAACACATGTTGAACCCTTTTCATTTTCAGTTCTAAATTGCATTGCTCAGCTTATTTAAATTAAATGTTCTACATTCTGTGGACCTCTTGTGGCAGTCCAATAGATCAACTGGCCATTCCCAGAAGTAATCATTTCAAGCTTTGTGTAGACAGAAGGTTAAAAACAGCCTCAGAAAATGCTCTCCCTTTTCTGAAACAAAGAACTAAACACATTTTTTAATGGGATGGGCAAAGGTTTTCTAACCAAATGCAAAGCAAACCTGGAATATGGGTACACAGGTTAAGGAAATTAATTTTTTTAATATAATTACATTTCTTTTACACAAAACAGCAGCAAATACGGCAGGTCCCTTAATTCCACACAGCTGACTGCTCATGTGACAGAACTCATTTTGAAAACATATGAAACTGAGTCCATTAGAAACTCTCACGAGCAGTTAATCAATTTGTTTAATTTCCTACCTATGAAACAATGTTTTTCTCACCTTACTAACAACTACATGGCCCTTAAATAAAACTATGACATTCTTCTAATTAAAGGGCAGATTATTTATGTCAGAAAACAGGACTCATTTAAACACCAAATGGGATTAATTGGATTGTATGAGGAGCAGTGGTCATACATTCATCAAATAGCTGTCAGACAACAGTGATCATCATGCTGTGGTTTCATATCATACGCTCTGTGCTTCTGATTGTAGCGCAAATAGGTAAGAGACATTTTTTATCATTTAAGTCTCAAGAATAGGAACACTGCAGAAAAAGCACTGGAAATGTACTTTAGCAATCAGACAACACCTATATGAACATCCCAGAAATATAAAGTCTTGAAATGGTTAGACGTCTTAATGCTGCAAACACGCCTTTCCTGATGTTTGCGCATCAAACTTGTACCATCTTTCAGTTCAGGCAATTTGTAATACCCAAGCAGTCTCAAGCTCCTTTGCTAAAATACAGTCAAAGGATACAAAGGATAAACCTGCTGCATGAGCTGCCAAGTCCACGTTCACTATTCCTGCTTACGCCGTTTACAAAGTCAACCTTCATAATCCACAGGGATAAATATTTAATTAACCTTTTGAGCCACAGAAACTCTAATCAACTTCTCCAACGTGATTAAAATCTATCCATCCCATCAGATTGCAAGAATATTTATTACTCTAATGAAAGTCTGTGCCACACTTGAGCACATGATTTGCAGACATGCCATCCAACCCCATAGCCATCAAGCTGTCAATCATTTAAACGCAATTAACATTTAGGAATTAATAAGAAGAGGTCAAAACAAACTAATAACCCCCTAATTTGAAGTACACTCATGAATATTAACATCTTAACTTTCCCTTGACCATGATATGAAGCAATGTCCAGTAGAAAGTTGGCCCCAGACAAACATCGTTTTACCTGATAAACACATCCTCACCTCTGCAGATTGGCACAGGGAAATCCCACACTGACACACCAGCAGCACTGGTCACACAGGTTAGGAGCGAATGTCCATCCAGGACATAACCTGTGACACATCGGTAGCGGATTTTGTCACCTACGCTGAACTGTGTTCCATTCAGTATGCCTTTAGATGGAACTCCTGGGTTTCCACATGAACCGCTTCTCAGCTCTGCAAAATGTAAGAATAAAGAAAAAAACAAGGTATTAAAATCTGGTGACGAGACATGAAAGCACAAACTATCTGAAGACTGTAATCATCTTTCAGTATGGCCTGTAATAGATGCTTTACATAATAATAGGGGAAAACATGCAATTATATTCTGAAATTTATTTTCAACCAAAATGTCAAGAAGCAAGAATTACATACCCCTCTAACATTGATTATCAAATGACCTGAAAAAAAGCTTTTAGTCCATGAAGTTTTTCACTCACATAAAGAGTTTTTGAAGAGCAAAAGGAAGCATAGACTGTTAAAAGTAACCTCAACTGAGAGCTTCCTAATGCTTCTTGTATCCAGTTTAAAGTATTTCTGTTACTGGGGACGGACTTTCACTCGTTCAAAAGACTTTCTCTTCTTTGTGTTTTCTGTGCTGTCTTCTGTGCACAGATCCCCCCCCCCCCAATTGCACACAACACAGATTGTATCCTGTAAATCTTGCCAATAAGTTGATATCAGCTACAAGAAGCTACTTGGTAAAACAAAAAAAAGAAATGTTACCGATTTAACAATATTTTTTGGATTACTGTATATCTTTAAATAAATTGTACATGGAGTTTAATCTAAATGGATACTAACAAATACCGTACTTAAAATATGAACATCGCTGACTGTGCATCCTTTTAATAATGATGTTTAGTCCATTATGCTAGTAACTAATGGATGACAAGTTTGACCCCGATTTATTGAATTAATAAAATCAATTGAAAAAGTCATGTGAAAAAATAAAATACGAGTACATGTATTTTACACTTAGATCGATGAAGTTTACCCTGATGGGATTACCCCTTTGATAAGTCAATACACACTATTCTGTTAACTTTAAAACTTTTCTAATGTTCATCTCGCCTGTTTGAACTAACATGCAACTCTAACCCTTGGATTAAACTTCTCCCATTTGTGGTTCATTTAATGTTTTAGCAAAAAAGTCTCAAAACCAAGACATCCATTTCCTTGGCAACAAAAAGCCCCATGGAGAAAGGAGACCCACGATTTGTCAGACACAGTGAAGGCCCCAAAAACATCCAGCTCACCACCGAGGCCCAGAGACCCAAGACATACCCCCACGAGGCCGCTGACCGCCGTCCTAACAGGCTACCAGGTTTTGAGTTAACACAGTAGAATCTCATCTCTTCTCCTTTTCATCCAGCACGGTGGTGTCAGGAGATTACGCAGCAAGAAGTAGAATAACTCCAAAATCAATATCCGTTAAACCTTTATAACTAAGATCAGGTTCCAGCTTCTTTCTCCACTTTCCTGCCTTTTTGGTCTATTGTTCTCCAATGTCCCATATATAATCACCTTATATCCCTGTCTGTTTGGCAATATTTAATACATGGCAAATGCAGTCAATACGTCATGGTTTTGAAAGTTTCACTAGTTAATGTTGTACGAATTATTGAGGTTAACTTAATGGAATAGTATGAACACTACAACAGACAATAGAATTTGGACTGGTTTGTTCTCTCCACTGTAATAAAGAATGAATTATGTAAATGAAGTATCAAGGCTTGAGGTTTCTATGGGGCTGGTGATGTCGCCCTTTAAAAAAGATGGAAGTTTAAAAGAGTTGCAGTGTTTGTGAGCACACAAGCAGAACACCTTCCCCACAGGACCTGCCTGTGCACACTGGATTCCAGCTAGGTGCTTGACTGGCTGCTGAGCTGAACAAAGTTTTTCTTTATTCATGTGAGGAAAAGAATGCCAACTGAAACCATGTTAAATCACAAGGCCAAGCAACTGGTAAACGACACATTCTCAACGTGCACTCACAAACTTACTTTTCCAGCTCAATGAGCAATCAGTTGTGCCACAGAGGGACAAGTGTAAATATTTGGGGAGAAAATTAAATTACATTTTTATGGGTCAGCTGTCTTTAAAAGACTATTAAAAAAAGCGGGCTGAGATGGCGTGGGACAGGTTTCAGATATGCACAGCGATGCTGTTCTTGTAAGTATGCAACCCTCACCAAAGGGCAAGCAGATAAATCTCCAGCAGCTTTGTATTGTGACTATACATCGCTGCAATCCATCTACTTCCCTTGGACAGGACTATCTGCAACTATTTTGCTGGGTTTTAGAAGAGGCCCACTTTCTGTTATCCTTACCAACTGTATTTACCCTTTCAGGACCTGTTAAGCCTTAAGGTTTAAAAAACATTGCAAACTTGTGATAGGAAATTCTACTAAGTAATAGATTAAATGAAGAAAATAAGAACATTTGATTCTGTCCGGCCACAGCTTTCATTGTGCTTTCTGTATGCAGGTGATGGAGAATCAATCCAATTGCAGACAAGATTTAATCATCTTTGAGAGTCTTAAAGTATCCCGTGTTTTAGTCGTGACAATAAATACATATTCATGTTAAAAACAAAGGTAATTTTATCAGTACAAACAGAAATGCATTCAGCAGTAACAGTGATTAATCATGATTGGGAACAACTATTTTTTAATGAGTTTCATAAAAATGAACAATGTTGTAGTGATTGGTTATGTCACCTCAGAGTGAGAGAAGCTTCTGGCATTCTCTGTTGGGGCCTTTCTGTGAGGAGTATGGAAGTTTTCCCTTTGCATGTGTGGGTTATCAACAGGTATCTCCAACAATGTTCATAAATGATTAATGCAAATACATGGGTGAGTCTAAACTGATCCTAAAAGTGAATGTGTGCAACAACTGCTAGCAAACTTCTACGTGATCTCATCGGCTAATTGACTGAAATTTTCCGAAACTGCAGGTACTGCTGTGAATAATCAACTCAAGAACTTCTAGCCATAGCACGAATGACAGATTCAGCTCGGTGTCATTACACAGACAAAACAACTGAATAAAATAGTATAGATGAACATGAGTTTTTTTGTGCAGCAGTTTAAATCAGTTGAGAATAAATAAATATATTTCAAAAAGCCATTTATTGATGGCGTAACTACTTAACTGCTGGAGGGCTGTGGAAACTGCTTGGTTTATGCAATATCACAGACTTTAAAGAAAAGAGCCTGTGTTGGGTTTTTTTTATATAAATGCTTTGCTGTAAAAAAAATGCTCATTTATATTTTTTTCAGGCTTTAATAATAAAAGATCATTCTTTATATTGTATGATATTTCACTAAATTCTCACCATAGATGCCACAAAACTGACATTTATGAGATCAACTATCTAAAATGATAAATTACTGAAAGATCCTTTTCTAGAGGAAGAGAGTTTTAAGTATTTGCACAACATGTTGGATACAGTTCTGTATCATGCCATGATGTACAGGAATGTACAACTGAACAATGAAGCTGTGCCTCACTCATACTCCCAAATCACAGCTTCGGCTCAAGCCTTAACCCATCTTAAAGTGCCTGACAACGCAATAGAAGTAAATGGGCTTATTGTAGAACAGTCTCCTCTGAATATTCTATCTTTATGAGTTATGACAAAAACAACGTGCTTCATATTTTTCAAAGGGATGTTAGAATGTCAAATGGGGACAAATCTGCTTTTTAGGAAATATAGCCGAGGACAAAATAGGAGACAAAAGCATGTGCAAGTGAGCAGATGGAGAAGGGTACAGGTTGTGCACTGGCCAGGTCTGGGGCAGGTGGGTTGGTGAGGAGGGAGTGAAGAGAGGTATGGAGGGGAATGGAATATGGGTATAGGGTTAGCCTGTTTGTGAAGAGAAGGTAAGCCATAGGAGAAAGTTAAAAAAAATAACTGAAGGAAACTGGGAGTAAAAGGTCTGTAAACTAGTGAAAAAAGACAAAGGAATTAAAGCAAGCAAGAAGATAAATGAAGAGTTGCAAAACAGACAAAAGCAAGAGTAAAAATAAAAAAATACGGAGAAAAATAGCTCATGAGATGGGATTGGGACGAGCAAATTGGTCAGAGTTAGGTCATATTTTGACTGTTCTCCACTGCAGCACAGATAGCCCCATACATCCATTAGTTCGACTAATTCCCATCGCCATCTGCTGTGTAATTTCAAAAGCACCTCTGGTGTAAGAAAGTCGGTACACAAAATTGAGGAGAGGGATGTTGGTTTGGAAAATATGAGATACCATTGCTTAATTGAAGCAGCTAATGTTTTCATAGCTCAACAATGGTAGTCCCAGAGGTAATCAGGTGGAGTACATGCGAGTACAGTTCCCGCTTATGATTATAGTACCTACTTTACCACGTTGATGTATTATTCTTCAAAATTAAGACCAATTTATGAGGAGCTACTATTTAATATAAAAGATTGTTCCTCATATCATGAAGAGACAAAATGTAGAAAACGATGCCGTTCTTACCTTCATAAGCTACTTTAAATCCATGAGCACTTACTGCAAAGTCACTGGTAAGCCTCAGTGAAAATATAGAGCCAGAACTGGTAACAGGCGAGGGGATGGTAAATCCTGTTAACCTGCGGATAAGGGTAACAGAATTCAGAACTGAATTAATGCTTTCATTCATATCAGCACAAAGGGAGAGACACTATCAATCCAATTCATTTTTACACAATAAGAATGAAAAAAAATAAAAAAATGTATTATGCAAATATTTCACAACTACTTGAATGTTGGCCTTCATGCCATAATGGAGACAGGTATCATGCAATCTTCAAATGTTAAAAACCTACAGAATTTCAAATTCCCTTACATTTTGCGCTTCATGCAATTGTTTCCTATGACTACATCTAAAACAATTATTTAGTATTAGCACCAATAATATGAATGGACAAACTTATAAAAAAAAATAGGGAGAGGCCAGCAGATTAGATACATTTGCCATTCCAAGATGTAAATCAGATAGAAAGGTGTAAATAGGGCTAAGGGTCCTCTAACTTGTTAAAGATAATGACTGTTGAATGCTTCACAACATGGATTGAGCACTGCAGCATTCTGAGTCTAATGAAACAGAACTGCTCTAAGAATTGATACAAATTATCCACCAACAATATACTGGTTCTTTTACAATCAAAACCTCAAGCGAGAGCACAACGTATTGTTCAGCGGTGTTTGAGGGCTCACAAAGCAATGTAACAGACTGATTCATTACTGCATTTCAAATGAGACACAGATCCAAACAGATCCATTCACTTTCACGATGTCGTAAACAAGATGTGTTGCTGAGCAGTCCTCAGTGGCAAGTTGCTGATGTTCTATCGACCTTCCTGTGCTGTAAGCCAGGCAGCAGAGCATGAACAAAACTCGCATGCAACGGAAAATGTCCACTTTTTATTGCTTGCTCATTTTATGTTACTTCTTATTGGTAGTTTTGAAGCCATTTGTGTGACTGAACCTCTAATCGTTAGTAAGTCAGGTAAATAGTCTCTGCAGCAGGTTAAAGGTGGAAAACACAGAACCCCCAAGTGGCAGGAAGGGAGAGGGTGTTGTATTTACAGCTTCAACAGAGTTTCCAATTACATGACTGTGAACTGTGCAGTAAATAATGACCCTTTTGCAGGTACTGTACAGCATGACACTGTTAGGAGTCAGTTGTGATGTAATTCTAAAAACAGGGATCATTGTTTAAATTTTACCCTCCAGGAGATGCCATCACTAAATACATCTGCACGAATTGTAAAAGCAACAGCAGTTTGACTCAAAATATTTTGTAAAGTAAGAGTAACAAGTGCCATCAACATCATATACAAGGTGAGCAAGTCATAAGCTCTGTTATTTCTTTCTTCCGACTACATTTTCTGACATACTGTATAGCTAATATAATAATATCAATATATTATACATTTTTGCAGATCCAAAATCTTGCAAAGTGTATGTGCATCATGCATAAAAGAAAAAACTAATACTGCAACATTCTACTATGGAATCACTCAGATTTAATGTATGTAGTGACAAAAATATTTAACAGTAAAGTTTATCTGAGAAGGTTAATTGGCGACTTTAATAATGAGAATGAATGTTTATGTACGAGTAGACCAAGATGGGCACTGTTACGTCGACAATCAAGTTTTCTGTAGGTGCATCGTTACAACTGTCATCGTAGAAAAAATAATAAATCGTATTTTCAGCATGTTAAATATACTTAGAAGCTGGTATTGATGCATGAGAAATTGCCATGTTATAAGTCAACCAAAAATGTCACTACGAGTTAAGAAAGAGCAGCTGTTTGGACAGCTATAGTGTTCCCCGTTTATGCATTACCATAAAAACAGTGGCAAAAAATGCCTATTTGTTTTGGAACAGAGGGGCAATAATTGCTTTGGCAAATGTAGCTTTTACTTCCACCTAAAGTACATCAGCCCTGAAGGTAGCTGTCAGACATTTCCACCACCTGATTAGTGTGTCAAGGTAGCAGTATGCAGTATGTGACACACACACACACACACACACACACAGAGAGAGAGAGAGAGAGAGAGCGAGAGAGAGCGAGAGAGAGAGAGAGAGTGAATGATGTACCTCGATTTGTCTACATTTCTGTCTGTCCAACTCCATCTGTCCTTCCCTCTAGCTTGCAAAACCTCGGTAGCTCTCACTCATCATTCCTTATTGTGGATGTTTATAACTGACTCTTCCCTTTCTTGCCATACTGACGGCATATTTGTGTTTACGTGTGTTCATATAAAAATGTCTTCATCTAGACAGACACACACACACACAGGCTCAAAAAGTAGATGAACTACAACACTGACCAAGAGACCCTGACATGGAAACAACTGCTTACCAAATAAAAAAAAAGTTATTTGCTTATTCACAGTCTACCCTTTATGAACAGGGTCCAGAAATGTGTGACATCAGGACACAGGAGGGTTCCTGTAGGTTCCAGGGTGTGGTCTTTAGTAAGACCAGCTGCTTTACTGCTGGAGTTAGCTCCTATTGTAGTTTTTTCTGATGCTTTAGATGGGTTAGTGTGGCCACCAAAATTACTGTTTGTTGGCATGTGTCAAAAGCCCCTTTCACATGTGTTGTAGCAAATCAGCAAAATCAGCTGTTACTACTACCAAGCCTTTCAGCCTTAAAAGACGTGTAAATAATGTGATTTACGTGACAAGTCTTTTACTTGACTTTGACACCTCTTATATATACCAAAGTTGTGAGTATTAATGACCCATAAATCTGCCCTCACATTTATCTCCCATGCATGCAGTTTATCCTTGGTGAGCTGGAGCTGATCCCTCTTTGAGGACCAATTTCTGCATTGAAGAGATGAGCATTTATTTTTTCTTAATAAACCAGTTTTGGTTGCTTTTCACAAGGTCTCAATTTACGCCAACCTGGAACATTATCTGTACATGTATATATGGGTTGATGTAAGATGCATGCCGTTTAATCTGACTGGAGACATTTCTACAGAAAGATGATCCATGTTGTAGTTCACTGAATGCAAGCAAGAAGATGGGGATAAGTATCAGTTTCAGGTCAAGCAAAGGTAACTAACAGTAATGATGATTCACTGGGGATTTTTCTCTAGAGAGCTTATGGTCAGATTGATGATAACTGTAACATTGTGTCTACCTTGTAAGTCGCTTTGGATAAAAGTGTCTGCTCAATGCATAAACATACTAAACTATTATTATATTTACCCTTATTTCTTTACTCTGTTTTTGTGTTTGCAAGTTTTGTTTTGTGTGTGTGGCATTTTCCTTTAAAGCTGAGAAAGTACATAGTCTCACTAATTTGAAAATTAGTTGAGCACTAGGCTAATCACGTCATTCAAAACTGTAAAATGTGACTATTTTGCATGTGTAGTAAAATGACAAGGCAAGAAAAACATTTACAAAAACTAAATGGGACTACTTAAAATAACGCAATTTCCAAATCTATGCATTTATCACAACTATTATATACATCTCTTTAACCCCAGTAGTTAAAAGTTAACCATAATGAAAACATAATTTATGCATGGCAACAGGGAAATAATAGGCATCATCATGCCAGCACTCTTCTATATGGCTAGCCTTAGCATATAATATCAGCAGAATAATGAGGACTCAGGCAGGCATTCTCAGCATGCAGAACTCAAGATAATGGGGAAAACTTCACTGTGCAAAGACAAGTCATAGATCAATGGAGAGACATGCAAATCTGGACCATCATTGGAATGTCTATACTTATTCATATATTACCATTATGTTTGCCATGTTATTTCCCGCATTGATTCCTTCATTGTTCAAGTATTAATACATTAAAAGTCCCTTTAATCTTCTTTAAGGTTTCTATTTACAAATACCTTAAAAGAGCAGAGGAAAAACCTTGCCCGTCATTATATTCACAAGTTTATTCATTCCATCTGAAATGACACCCAAGCAAAAAATACAGCAGTATATATTCAGAGAAGGGAAAAAGCAGAAATGATTTCAGATATCATTTGGGAATAAGCATCTTGCCATACAGGCTAGTGAAGAGAAGGATAGAATAGTAGTGTGTCCTGGATGTTCACCAGAAGGTACAGAAAAACAATTAAGTAAAAAAAAAAAACTATTTTTTCTCAATATCAGTGGTCTTGGTTTTAGAGAGCTAATTACCTCAGAGCAACAATTCCACTGTTATTCACAAGAGAAATAATAAATACTTGGCATATTTTCATTTGCTGGCAAGATACCAAAAAGTGGGATGTTCTGAGAAAATTCAAGTCTTGAAGAAAAAAAACAAAACAAACAAGTGCGACTAAAACTTTGAGAACAACAAAGTATATATATATAGCCACTTTCCAAGTTCATGTTTTAAAAATTCAGCTACAGTCATTTCCAAACCATAAGCCACTACATTCTTTAACACACTTTGAACACAGCAGCTTGAATGACAATGTGGTTTAATCATGGATTCTACAGGCTAAAGAGTTTCATGGATCCACATCTGACTAATGAATTGATCAAAGGGGTCGGGTGAAAAAAAGCATTGATAAGCGTTTGATTAGGTTTAAAATCTTTTCGTGTAAATAAGTCATGCTACAATATGGACATCTGCATTTTTTGTAGCACATGTATATATATTACTTTTTAAGGATGTGGCTTATAATCAGGTGTGCTAAAATAGTCTGAAAATTACAGTACATTATCAGTTTAAAATCCTCTATTTCCCCCAAATAAAAAAACTCTTTTGGAAAAGAAAATAAATTGAATAGAATCAGGAAAAATTTATCAAAAGCAATAGACCTCATAAGATGGATAAAAAAAAAGGGCTTTAGGTCCTTGACTGATGTAAAGCAAGCCATACGATCAACCTATCCACTATACAGTATAACTGTTATGCAATTTATCACAGTTAGCTTTTCAAACAGAAAGCATCCAATAAAATTGCAGACATGACAAGTTCAAGTTCTCATGAAGCTTTTTCATTTAAAGAAACTACTAGACTCATCAAATACCTAAAAGAAGGATTGTGAGTTACTATTAACGCTGAGATTGAAAACCTATTGGTTCATCTACCAGTTAAGCATGACATTTTCACTTCAGAACGCTGCGTTTTTATGTTGTTCAAGTATACTGCGAATACTCGTCAAATTCAAAGCAGGTTGATCAGAATAATTTACCCTCACTGCCTTTATTAATCATTCTATATCTGAATGCATAATTAAAAAGAATAAAAATAGCTAGATAACAAGATGTCACATGCTTTTTAAAAAATATATAGAATTGAGCAATAAGATAAGCATGATTCACTTTGTTTTTATAAATTCACTATACTCCTTTCATGATATGTGTTAAGCGTTCAAGTGAATTTGAGGAGTCCACATTTGACAGACCAAGACAAGACTTCACATTTCACCCAGTTTAACTGTATTTGACAAGTTGCAGATGAAATAAATCAAACTGGTGATGTTTTGACTGATCCTTTTAAATCTGTAGGAGCCGCCGTGGGGCAT